CACGAGCTGTATTTTTGGGTGCATTGACGGCAGGGCTAGAAACATGGCAGAGATAGAACGTCTCGCACATTGGACGGAGTACGGAACGTTACCGAAGAAAGAATTGATGAAGTGTTGCTTATGTGCATGGAGTTATTGGTTTTGATGATTAAAAGGGTGGAGTTGTCATTGATCTCTATTCAGCCGAACCACTGCTCTGCTTCCTAGAGTTCGATGGCGACATATGAAATTGTGGAGTTGCGACGACTCGTGGACCAAGAGAACACTTCTTACATACAATTTCAGACTGCAGGAGGTGAGTTTCGAACCGCTGCTGACTCTATCGAGTCCTCAGAGACTACATGCTTCTCGACTGCAAACTGTTCTTGTGGCATCACAAGAAGATTGGGAAAGGCGTTGCCTTGCGAACTCCGGAAGTTGATTATACTCTTTCCCAAGAGACTGTAAGAAAACTGCTTCAAGGAAGAATCGACAATCTCAGGCATTTTAGGAAGTCCAACCAGTCTCCCTGATATCCTAATTATTGTGGTTGTTGGTCCTTCTCCTGCATTACACTTGTGGGAGACAACGTGCATCTCACGGAGTCTTGATCCCATTGTTCCAGAGCCCAGAGGGAAAATGATCATCTACCGAGAGTGCAGTAGAGTAGAACGAAGATTAGAGGAAAGAATAGCGTACGGAGTGAAGGAAAAGATATCACATCACGTATCGAAAAGTGCTTTGAAAGGAAGATTGGTCCGGTTCCGGTGCCGAGGCTGCGTATCAATTCCGTACCTGGAAGTTATCAACACTCAAGTCACCAGCCGATGCAAGATACTGACATTTTGGTGCATATAATCTTTGAAAAGTTCCTTCCATTCCATCAAAATGACATGCCCCAAACTCCTCTCGCTATGCAAAAGTACAAACGAACTCCAGTTCAAGGCGCATCTCCTAGCAATCTCCCAGGGCGCCCTATGGTTATTCACATATCATGCCTGCTAGTGATTCCTAAAATTCTTCTTCTGGTAAAATAGATCCGTCCTCGAGGAACCCAGATTGATAATCTTCGGGCATCCATCTCTGTCCTTCTCCAACCTGGTACATTCGAAGCAGTAGAAAGCGTCGGAAATGCCCTGCCAACATATTAGCTTGATGCCAACACAACAAAGTGGGGGTGAAGGAGATACACACCTCACCACCGCAGACCACGCATTTATTCTGGTAGTTACCAAAGCTGCATTCGTCGCAGATGCGGACAAGGGTTGTAGGTCGGACGTAGGAATCGCAGACTGGGCATTTACCGTCGCATTTGTCGCAGAGGCGGCCGATAGCGATGCCTGATTGCTTACGGCACATGACGAGATCGCTGAATTTCTGTTAGTACATTGCAGCCTTTCGGAGTCTGTGAGAAGAGTTTGTAAGTGAAAGGAGTTTGGGAGCTGTAGTGAAGAGGGCCAAGGTCCGCAGAGGCGCCGGTGCGACTTACGGATGATGGCGAGACATGGCGGGATACTTGATTGTTGGATATACGTGAAATGTGTGTTTGTAGTATGCCTTGCACAGGGAGTGAGGTTTTGATCAATTTCCGAACGAGGTTTGTCGAGTGACGGGGACGAGGCTGTAGATTTTCACAATTGACGCGCCACTTGAGTTCTATAATTTAGAATTGATTTCCAAGCACGGCTCTCAGCGCTAGTACGTATATGGACAAGCGTCATATGCTTCGAAGTAAGGTTGCTCAGCCTGATGGGGATCCTACTCCGATACCTAACACCCTTCGAAAAGTATTGTTAAGCAGATATTTTCAAATGGCTGATACAAACGGGTAATGCGACTGCGGTGAAGTTTCACAACAATGCTGACTGCCTGCGTAGGCCAATTGCTTCAGTTGTCATTCTCCCCGAGGCTGAAGCTATAACAGCTCCCTTAAAACGACGAAAATCATCAGCCTCTGACTCCACAACAAAACGTCCCCGACTTTCTCTCGAAGCAAGTAGTCATTTTCCTACAACTCTGCGCGACTCTCCCCAGCCAATCGAGCCCTCCAAAAGCGAGCCAGAAGTGAAGGTCGAAGATGGGGCGCAGAACAGACGGAAAAGCAGTGTTCAGGAAGAAAAGAAGCGTGGACAAAGATTATTCGGTGGTCTTCTTAGCACCCTAAGTCAAAGTACACCGAATGGCCAGCAAAAGAGAAGACTCGAAATTGAGAAGCGCCAGCATGAGAAAGTCAAGCAGCAGAAGGAAGCTGACGAAGCGAGGAGGAGAGAAAGGCTCGCTGACTTGAAGGCGATTCGAAGGGCAGAACAGATCATATACGACGAAGCAGAGGTTCGTAATTTGGCTTCAGAAGCTAAAATAGCGCTAATTCTCGCAGATGCAAACGCGGCACTCAAATATCCTGGCTATGGCAAATTTCCTGTCCACGAAAGCGCAACCAAAGATTGTGTGTACCTGTGCTACGGTAGTGTCTTCGAAACTTAATGCTGACTCTTCTCTAGTATTACAAACCTTGGAAGCTGCTACCCGAAGATGAAGAACGAATCAAATCCCAGCTCAGAGAAGCCGAAGCCATGGTCGAGAGAGAAACCACACAGTTCGATCTAAGGCATCCGAATCGACCTGGAAGAGCAGAGAAGGAAGAAAGACCCGAAGGGACGGGCAAGGAGACGGTAGGCGAGCCTCAAGACGATTCTCTACTGGGTGAGCCTCAGAATGAGTCTCCGTCTGTTTCAAAAGTTGATAACACTACTAATTCCCACGCACAAATACCCCAGCCAGAGCAGTACCAGGCTGAGAAGCAGGCTCAGGAAGAGCATAATGGCGAAGTTCTCGTTGAGAATGCCGAGGATACGGTCATCTACTGACTTTAGCAATGCCCCTTTCGTTTCTGGTCTTTGTGGATGTTTCCTTTTGGTGGAGATGTGATCACTAATCCTCCTTTGCGATATGAATGGCTTGCAACCTCTTTGTAAATATAAGTGCTTTACCTTAGCGCAAATCCATTTGTAGCAAACCATCTGTGTCTGCGAATGCCGGCTATGTCATCAGTGATGTCTGAAGATTGGGTCTCCACATGTCTCTGTTGAGCATTGGACCCCAAACTGACACGTCGTTGGGGTGTACTGTGCATACGATTCAGCGTAAGAACACCTGAAGCTTGTTCTGCGACGTCAGGGAGCACTTTGTAGCTGCGAAGTAGTATTGTCACCTATAGTGGGTCGTCATCGTTCATGCACCTTCAATACGGCCGAGGTACTGCGCCAAAAATGCCGGCTCAGCCTTGCAGAAACTATAAAGCTTCTACCACCCCCACCCCGAACTTCAGCGTCTATCAACAACAACTGCACCAGCTGCTATAGACCTGAAGATGGTAGATAAACTCGCCCCCAACGATTCTCGAGTCCAATACAAAACTGCCAAACTCAATGGCGTCACTTACAGCTACATCCTTGCCGAGCCAAAAGGCAAAGCTTTGAACACCATATTCCTTGTCCATGGCTGGCCAGACATCTCATTCGGATGGCGATATCAAGTTCCTCACCTCGTTTCTCTTGGTCTTCGGGTCGTTGTTCCTGATATGATGGGCTATGCCGGGACAGACGCTCCGGAATCTCCTTCTTATTATACACACAAGCGAGCAGCCGACGACCTGGCCACACTCGCCGAACAACTCGGTCTTTCGAGCATCATCCTAGGAGGACACGATTGGGGAGGAGCCGTCGTCTACCGCTTCGCTCTGTACTACCCGAAACTGATCTCTGCTGTCATCAGCGTCTGTACACCCTACAGTCCACCACTGAAGAAGTTCGTCGACGCCACTGTCCGACAGAATTTCAAATACCAGCTCCATCTTCGTGGCCCTGAAGTCGAAGCAGAGATTGTAGGCGAGGAAAAGCTTCGTCAATTCCTCAATGCCATGTACGGAGGACGCACTCCTGATGGACGAGCTGGCTTTTCCACCGACAAGGGAGTGCATTTTGACGCTCTTCCCGAAGTGAAACCTACGCGGCTCTTGAATAACGAGGAAGTGGACTTCTACGTCTCGCAATACGCCAAGAAAGGAATGCACGGTCCCTTGAACTGGTACCGTACTCAAGAACTCAATTTTGAGGATGAGAAGGAAATGGCCGAGAAGATGGATGGATTCAAGCTTGATATGCCGACACTGTTCATTGCGGGCACGAGAGATGACGCACTGCCTCCGAGTATGAGTGTTGGAATGGAGAAGCACTTCAGGAGCTTGACGAGGGGAGAGGTTAATGCTAGTCACTGGGCGCTGTGGGAGAAGCCGGCGGATGTCAATCGTTATATGGAGGAGTTTTTGGTTGGGCAGATTGGGACAAAATCTCAGTTATGAGGTATGATGTCACATCATAAATGATTCAATGAATACGGAGTCGCTGGCTCTTCGCTCCTCTAATTTTGAGGCCTCTGCTGGATGATTTTTCCATGGGACTCTCATCGGATGTTACACTTTCGATAAATATTTTCCCTGTCTGGCTCAGGCGATCTTGAACTCTTTATATCTACAACGGCATGTGCTTTGTTAAGCCTAGGCAGTTCTATCCTGGAATCGGTAGCTGTATCATACCACGTTCTTCAGAACATGTGTAGGGGAATAACAGTATATGCCAACTCATCCTCACCTATCTCAAGTACATTCTTAGGTTGTAGTGATATCATGTAAGCTCAATGAAGCGAACGGGAGCAGGAGAAGCAGTTGTCTCTCAACTACAAAGTCATAAATGCCGTACGACACATTACATACAATATGCTTGAATAAAACTTCCAATTCAAAGCCACCATCTCTAGCGGACACATACCTAAAGCCCACCTTACAACTTAGGTAAGTGGGGGTTATGAACTCGCTTAATCTCTAGAGTTCGCACAAGGAAGTCATCAACGCTGGATTCATAATTTGATAGAATAAGTCAAATAAGATATCTTTGATATCACATCATTAAAAAAGATCGCGTAAGTAAAACAAGACACGTCTTTTCGGGACAGTTCTAACAGAAATACAGTTAGCTCAGTTGGTTAGAGCGTGGTGCTAATAACGCCAAGGTCGCGAGTTCGACCCTCGTAGTGATCAATGATTTTTATTGTCATCCGAAATATGGTTTTTGGGGCTGCTTTTGTAGTTATTGCTTTGCCTTTTGAAACTTAGCTTATTCTGATGTGTTAAGATTCTGCGAGATGTAATCTCTTTTGTGCTTTCTGATTCTTCTGTCCGTTCGTTACTATAGCGGGGTCAGTCTAGGCGGGGTAAATCGATCTTTTCACGGCCTTTACTAACTCTTCGGCTTTTGGACACCGATGCATAACACATTTCTGCTCTACTAAAGACTATGCCTCTTACTAGAACCAGGAAAGAAGGATTGAAGTAATGCCGCACAAGGACTAAGCATTTCACATTGTTCTCGAGTATAAGACGCTTCAAGAAAGCTTATTACTACATGTCAATAAAAGCTCAAATGTCCGCTCAGTCCGAAATGAAACTTCTAGATGCTGTCAGAAATATTGTTTATGGAAAGAATTACGGACAGTCGTACTTCTAGGTTAGTCACCAACCGAAATAGTAAGAGAGTTAGTGGCCTATTGACCGCAAGGTAGGTAGGTAAGCACTACATTTATAAGGCTAAACGTATCCGACTTGCGCAAGACAGTCTGTCCTCATAAGCAATCAGATCTCCATAAAGAATTTTTCTTTGGAAGTAAAGGCAATGGACTACTTTGAAGCGTTAATTTAGTAGTGTTCTATTGTTCTCTTGTGAGTTTAATATTGAGTTACAAGTGTATACGAACAGTTCTTGTTTGCTCAAACTGAATTGGCCTAACTTCACATGCTCTGTTAAGTAATATCAATAAGAGCTGAAGAATTTTGAAAGATCGATCTTGATCTTGGGATTCTGAGCGATGAAAGAAAAGCAGGAAATACCGGACTCTTACACAACTTCCAGAATAGCAACTCCATTCGGCTCAAAGGTAACAATTAAGTCAGTCCTCAACCAATACTTGCCTCAGTCTGTAGGGCCATTAGACGTACAGAGCCAATAGATTATGCCTTGTTTTTATCAAGCACCCAATTAAGATGAGATTTTGGAAGAACAATGAAGTGAGGTGACAATATGGTTAATCCCGGGGTTCTTCAGTCACTATTCTTAGCTCGGGAGACGCCGATTCAAGGGTCCAGCAGGGGTTCAGCTGCCAGGCACAGCGATCGGGGACCACTGTAAAGTAAAGTCTGGACTCTTCAGTGGATGATGGACCCTGAAAAGGTCTTCTGGAACGAAAGGAAAGTGGCCTGACAAGTCTAGCTCCAATTCAGCATCTAACAATTCTCTCCATATATCTACGCATCTCAGCTGCTTCATTCTAGAAGTAACACCACTTTATCGAACGAGATATCTGAGCGTTATCAACGCTGCGGAAGCTCACACCACCGGAACTTGGTGATTCTGTGCCATACAGAATGCAACATTCACCACATTCGCGCACGCTTATGTAAAGGAAGAGGGGTTGCTAGTAATCATGTCTTCCCTCTCGTTAGGATCAAATCCAATACGATATCCAGGATATTTTGCACACAAACCGCAAATACAAGAGAACGCTCATCTGGTTCTTACACACGATATTGTACGAAACATCAAGACATTACATTTCCAAATCAACACTCTACAACCTCTCAGTCCGAACAGAGAGTACCTCCAGAAATCGATGAAGGGATATTTTGGAGTCATGACATACAGCCCATGCAGCTCATGCTACCCAAACGGAAACGGAGAACAAGTTGGTAAACATTGTTTGTGGCAACCGAAGAACACCACAGAACCGAAGGATGAACCTCTGTGGCACCTACGAGTCAGCGTTTTGAAGGACCAGGAAGCAAGAGGCGACTGCCAGAGTCGCAGATTTGTAAGTTTTGTTTGTGTTCTTATTCCAGGAGCGTTCAAGCTATGATTTGAAAGAAAGATTCATTGACCGGGTAAACAGGCGTTTAAGTCGTTGCATCACCTCACACATGCTGCGAATCAGCTCGACGAGGCGTTCAAGAGTTTCGATATCAAGAATTGCGGCGTTGAATCTCCGGATGCGATGGGAGATAGAGTTAATGATGGACGAAGTGAGAATATCACGATCGAATTCGAATCTGATACCTCACTGGAGAGTTGGAAGGAGTTTATGGCGAGGCTCAAGGCGTTGGAAGATGAATGGGAACATGAGGGCATGAGCGTTCTGTAAGGATTCATTAGAGGAAACCTATTAGATAGAAGTCGGAGTACACCTGTTTCGATCAAGAATAATCTTGATGAAGCAGTCCGTCAATCAAGTGGAGCATGGTGCAACGCCGGAACTTGTTGCACGCCGGGAGAAAGGGCGGGAGAAAGAGAATGAATTCACTGCAGATAACCTGGCGGAAAACAGTTCATAGGTTGTACCGCTTCTGGATATATATGGCAAAGTGGCAAGCATTGAGTACGTAAGTAGCCTTGGAGTTTCGTCGGCATTTCCTAGCGTCTTGGGTATAAAATGTTCATAAATGTAAACAGATGACATTCAATAAGTATATAAGTTAAGTACCCGATGTGTCATCTAATCAAAGCACTTGATTGATATCAATAGAGGAGGCTCTATGATTATTATATCGGTGTATCACACATTAAAAGATCGAGATCTAGATCTAAGATAGCCAAATGTAATCTGAATTGGAAAACCCGGATTAACTATGACGCTTGAAATAGTTGTTGAAACGTATGTTGATCCTTCGTAGACGAAATCATGCATAGCGCCCACTTGCTATCATACGGCATTCCTTGCTGTTTATGATACCCACTGCTGCTATTGATTCGTTAATTTTGTGCGACGGGTTAAATTGCAATCTTTGTGTTCCCTTGTCTTGAGTAAATCACACTAAAATTAGCGAGCGAACCTCCCATACACGACTCATTCCTTCAATTGTCATCAATCTGAATCCGCGATACGTCCAAGATCAACTACCATTACTAATGGACCTTTCATTCAAGATGTCCCCGAATCTGTCAGATCCTCTAGAGTTTGCGAAAGCCTGAATGGCTCGATTTCTCATCTGATTGACTCGTCTGATAGGCGGCTCTGCCGCTGTCAGGTCAAACGCGCCCCCCTAAGCATGAAGACGGAGCTCGGTGCGCGAGGTCCTGAAACTCACACGACAACAAAATCCCCCCACATTGGCCTAAATTGAATGCCCTCGCTCGAAACGTCATGTCGACCGTTGAGAGATGCATAGGCAGGCGTGTTGGCCCGTATGATCACCCGCGCTTGCATGTTCATGGTGCATCAGATAGCTCGCCATGGCAATGCTATAGCAAAACTTCACCAGTTCTAGATAACAACGAGCGAATGTAACATGAAGGGGTAGGGGAAACGGAGATAGACTTTAGATCTCATCTCGTCCATCCCTTAGATCTCTGATTTGTGGGCTCTTTCGATTCTTCATCGTCTTCTCTTTGCACTTCTACCTGTCCATCTGTTCTGTTACTCGCGATGCTCTGCAAGCAGTGAAGCCCGTTCAGTTTCCTTTTAGATTTTAATACTTGTTTAATGTGTCTGCGATTATACCCGAAGCTAGTCTGATGTGTCTGGACTCCTCGCTGGAAGAGGGTTTGATTTTATTTCTTTTGCGAAAAGTCAAATGGATACACCTTGGGAAGCTAGCTCATCAAGCATCGCTATGCAATCGGAGCCTTCGAAAGTTCAGATCGTACAGAGCATGGTTCGGGGGGCTGAAGAACAAATCGCACTCATTACATCTCCACCAGAACTTCGATTACGAAGTCCTATCCCCGAGCCTCAGAATAATGGAGACTGCGGTGAAGCAAGTCGGAGTGCATCGGAGGCGATCCGACAAGCAAATCAATCGGCCTCTCAATCGATTCAGCAAGCAAGCCAGCAAGCTTCTCAATCAGTTCGAGAAGCAAATCAAAAGGCCTCGCAGGCTGCTCAGCAAGCGTCACAATCGGCCTCGCAAGCGATACAGCAATTTTCGAATTCTGCCTCTCAATCAATCGGCGCAGCATCTAGAAGTGTTTCAGCAGCTGTTCAGTCCGCAGACCAGGCAGTAGCACAAGCAAAATCTTCAGCAGATGCAGCAATAGCAAGAGCAAATGGAGCCATGACAACGGCTCAGGCCAGTGCTGCATCGGTACAGGTATGCTTACAATCAGATATACCTGATATCAGCGAAATAATTCTGACGGGTCATGAATTTAGGCGGACGCTTCCATGGCTATTCTCCAAGCTGGTGCTGCAGTTGCGGCTGCAACAGGTATGTTTTCGGTTTCTTCGTTTCGAATCACGTCTGTGGAAATGTTATTTCTGTGAGGCGAAACTTTACAGAATCAAAACATTTTCAACAACAACTAATGAAAGAACAAGGTTCTGCTGCTGCCGCTGGCTCTTCTTTCCTCGCTGCAGCTGCAAAGGCAACTCAAGGTGCTCAAGCAACCATTTCGGGCATCAGCGTAGGTTCCTCTTGAACTAGGTATCGAATCAGCCAATCTAATTTATCATCGCATACAGGCTGCAGCTGCTTCATTCGCTGCGCAGGCAGGCGACCAAGTAAAAGCTTCACAGACAACGGCAGTGACTGCCACTCAGGCAGCTCTCGCAATTGTTGGCAGTATCATCGCCTCTACTCTAATAACCATCCTTATCTACTTCCTTGTCATCCGACATAAGAGAAGTGCTAGACGAAAGTCTAAGGAAACGAAGTCGCCAAACAACGAGTACTCTTCAGATCCCAAGTTCCCTATCGTGGAACAATTTCCAATTTCAGATCAAGTCGGCACCACGATCGCTGCCTCTAATCAATTTGTGAAGTTTAATGAGGAGAAGAATGGCCCACCTACCAACGCTTCATTTTCCCTGTTCCTGAAGATTACTGAGAGCTCCCCAAATCGAGGAGCCGTGAAGAAGACGACCGTACCTTGGGATCCCTCAAAACCCCCAAAAGCTCCAATCCTCAACTCTTGGCTCAAAGTCCGAGATGAGGTCTCTCCGTTCGGCACTATTAAATTGCCTGGTGGAAAGACGCCTTTACCACTGGGAGGTCAA